AAGACATAGAAACGTCTTCCAAAGATCTGCTTATACTTTCTTACTTTTTTACTTTTAATTGAGTATAGAAGTAAAGTTAAATCAGTACTTCACCTTTTTGTGGAGTGTTTCTAACAGTAGTACCTGTACTTCTGCTTAAGTACAGAATGTCTTTACTTTTGCCAACTCTGGTCAGAGGCCTTAAGAAGATCATTTGTAACCTTCACTAAAGCTGTTTCTGTGCTGCTATGAGCTCTGAAACCTGACTGAAACTCTTCAAATAAGCCATTCCTCTGCAGATGATCTGTTAGCTGTTTGACAACTACTCTTTTGAGAATTTTTGAGATAAAAGGAAGGTTGGAGGCCTGTAATTAGCTAATACAGCTGGGCCAAGTGATGGCTTTTTAAGTAAAGGTTTAAATACTGCCAGCTTGAAGGCCTGTGGTACATAGCCGATTATTAGAGATCATATTTAAGATTGAAGCATTAATTAATGTCAGGAGTTCTTTGAGCAGTTTTGTAGGAATGGGGTCTAAAAGACACGATGGTTTGAAGAAGTAATTACTGAAGTTAACTCAGAAAGATCGATTGAAGTAAAAGACTCTAAATAAATAGTATTACGTCTGTGCGAGGATTATGAATATTTCTTTCTCTAATAGTTAAAATTTTATTTGTGAAGACGTTCATAAAGTCATTATTACTAGTTGGTCTTTAGTTTGTCTCTTTGAGAGCTGACACAGGCGATGGGGCTTTGGGGGGATAACAGGAGAGAAGCTGCAGAGAGGCGTGCAAGACTGCAACTCTGTTTCCTGGTCCAAACTCTGGATAGTCACGTTTTGGTGGTTTTAATAAATTTGACCAGATTTCTAGAAATGAAAGCTGCTCCATCCAATGTGGGACGGATACCATCTCTCCTAACAAGACCAGGTTTCCCTCAGAAAGTTACCCAATTATCTATAAAGCCCACATCATCAAAATAAGCTGGCAGGCAGTGTTCGTGTTGCTTGTATGTGCGTGGTAATGTGAAGTTAAAGGCGCTGAAAACAGCCGAAGCGTGAGTGAAACTCCAGCTGTGTGTTTAGAAGTTGGTTTCCTTGCCTCCTGATTGGGTAGGCCTTCAGAAATTTTAACAACACTCAGGGGGAAACACAAGGTTTTCTGCTGTTTTAAAGAAGACGCGTTCTCATGCCAAGCTGACCTCAATATAGAAAGAAAGCAAATTCACCTGAGAATTCAGGTGTGTGACAGAAAACAACAGCAGTGTTCAGCACAGCAGGAGAAATGTGTCTGAGGGTGTCCTCCATCAGATTCCTGTTAATGTGTGTGTATGTGTGCGCGCATGTGTTTCCTATTTAAACTGACCTCATTCCTCAGAGCGGGGGCTGCATGACATCATGCTGCTCGCTGCTGTCGATGGATGAAACGTTTCTGCACGATGACAGAAAAAAATAAGTCTCCTGATGTCTGAACGATAAACAGAGAGCAAACGTGAACTTTTATTTTGGCACTCTTTGGCAGAACAGGAAACTGGGTCACGAAATGTTGGAAATCAAATTCAGCTGAACGTGACTTTAAATTAATCAAAACCAGCTGTTAACATCTGTTCACTGATGCTCCACACGTCACAGAATCAAAATACCACAACAGCACACGTAAAAGTATAAAAATATAATCATCTACAGTAATGATACAAAGAAAGTTAAAAACAACCTCATATGAAAACAACCATGACACATTACACATTTATTTAATTAATGAAACTAAGTCCATCTCATATTTCAGCAGCAGTAAGTTGCACTGATAGTTCCTGTGTGACTTCATCAGTCCGTCTCATCTCTGCGGGCGATTTTTAGTCCACTCTTCTTCACAGCCATGCTTTAGTTCATTGAGATTTGCAGCATTCATTCATGCACAGCTCTCTGAGCTCTGCAGCCGGTCTTTTTCTAATTGTGCTGTCATGAACTTTGACTTTTAACCTGCTAACTGATGCTTGTAGAGTCTGAGATGTAGTTCTTGGTTTTGTTGCTTAGTCTGACCTCAGGGTGGATTTGCTAGGGCGCTCACTCCTGGAAAGACTGTCACATTAAAACACCTGAATGACTCTGTGTTTATTTCAGACTCCAAAGCCATCGTGGATGGGAATCTGAAGCTGATCCTGGGTCTGATCTGGACCCTGATCCTCCACTACTCCATCTCCATGCCCATGTGGGAGGACGAGGATGACGAAGACGCCAAGAAACTGACTCCTAAACAGCGTCTGCTGGGCTGGATCCAGAACAAGGTGCCCCAGCTCCCCATCACCAACTTCCACCGAGACTGGAGGGACGGCAAGGCGCTGGGAGCTCTGGTGGACAACTGCGCCCCCGGTAGGATCCCGCCGACACTGCACACAGTGTGCAGAGACGCTGATGTTTAAGTTAAAAATGATCAGTAAAAGTAGTTTAAATGTTTCTTTAAGACAGGAAGCTGACTGAGTTTGGTTTTCTTTAAAACGTTCCTGTGATTTAAAGAAAAGCGGCTGCTGTTTTCCTGGAAGCTGAGGAAAGCTTCCAGGAAAATATAGACGCTGTCAAATAAAAACTTTCCCTGAAGCCGTCAAACTGTCAGTTAAAGTGAACATGTGCTTAAATTATCTGTGAGCTGATGTGAAGCAGTTGCTAAATCTAAACTATCGATTTGTTCCTGTGTCAAAGTTTTCTCCAGAAAACCTGATATTTAACTTCCTGTATCGATGTCTGGAGGGTTTGGTCATCGGCTGAGTGCTTCGCTCTGGCTTCATTCAGCTGCTCGTAAAGCTGCTCTTTGACATTTTACCAAACAGGCCCACCAGACTCAAAGACAGGAGACGAAGAACCAAAAGAAAGTACAGTCCTGGAACTGATCCAGCCCCGCTAACCTGGAGTCAGGCTGTAAAAATGTCCTGACTTTGCAGGAAAAGTTGAGATCTTCACATGGAAGTTAGTACAGCACACTTGGGGGAGGAGGAGGAGTTAATCCTCCTATCAGCTTCAGGCTCAGAGTGTTTCTGTGTTTCTGCTTCATGTCAGCAGCTTCAGGAAACCAGCAGCAGCTGAAATATGCAGTTTCTGCTCTGATCCTCATCAGAGAGCAGCGAAGGACAAATAACTTATCAGCTTTAACGTTCAGCTAATTTTGAGTTTTTCAGTCCAGGGTGAGGTGTGCCGGATATTTTCTGATCTCATTTTTGAGTTTGTGAAGCTTATTATGCAGCCAGAGGCTCGTTACCTTTGTGGAAATGTGTTCAAGTAATTTATGAGGACAAAGTGTGCGTGCTCAGAGCTGATTACAAGAAACTGGCTGAACATATTGTTCCATATTTTTTGTTTTCATCATCATTTCTCTCTGATTAAGGTCTAACAGAAGAATCCTCCTGTTTTATGTTTAATAACAGTCACATATTTTATTCATGTTTTCTGCTCCAGTTTCATAAATGCTTTTTCTTTTTTCTCTTTCATCATCGGAAACTTTTATCTTTAATATTTCCGTATAACAGACCTGCATTAACTAACTGCAACACCTCCTCCAATTCCAGTTCATATTTAGCACTAAACTGTGAAAATATTTACAAATAATTCTTAGTGCATTAAAATAGAAATGTTGAGAAGATCTTGTTACTTTGACTCTGTAAGTCTGACCCTCGACGAGGTTTGATGATGAGCGTCTGCTGCCTCTGTTTGTATGTAAAACCAAAAAGAACTGAAACGAGTAAACCGGCTCAATCAAAATAAAACCTAAAACCTGTAATAACTAAACCTACAGTTTAATTATAAAGCTGGTTTCTCCTAGATTACAAAGTAAACCCATTCATCCATAAAATATAAACACAATTACAACAAATTTTAGACATTTGTTTGTTTTCTCAAGAATATTCTGTAATTTCACAGTGAAGCATATGCGAGTTGGAGAAAATTGTGCTCATGAAACAGAAGTAGTCAAAGTGTCTTTTAATTATAAAGTACTCTGTAACTTGGAAGTATGTTTGAAGTAGTCAAAGTCCTTAAAGAGCCCATATCACATATTTTTATGTTCATAATTTAATATGTGGCACAAAATCAAATATGTAGTTTTTTTCATGTTAGTTTTATGGAAATGAACTCGTGTCAGACATGTTCTGAGTTTCTAAAGCTTGAACAAAAAGGAACTCGCTACACAAATCAGGGAAAAATAAATCCTTTTTTGAAATATTTTCTCTGCAAACTGTTAAGCAGGAGCTCATCGGATGTTCTGCAGCAGAGGCGACTCAGACTGCTCAGACTGAACATCGTCCTGCAGGACAGACTAGTCTCCTGTATATAATGAAACCTCTCTGTCTGTGCTGCCTTCAGGTCTGTGTCCCGACTGGGAAACATGGGATCCCAGTCAGCCAGTGGAGAACGCCCGGGAAGCCATGCAACAGGCTGACGATTGGCTGGGAGTGCCACAGGTAACACCTACCTGCGCACGGACTGCAACACATTCAGTGTCTGTTCTCTGAGTTTCTTCTTACTGATTAATGAGAAAATCAGAGCCACATTCTAGGAAACAGCTACAAAATAAAAGCCTCTGCTTCACTGAACATGGAAGAATCAGGGATAAGTTGACCTGTATGCTGTTTTTATCTGCCGGTGAGCTTTGTGGTTCCTTTGAATTCAGGCTAAGAGGATATATTTGTTACGATTAAATTGAACTTCAGAAATAGCAGTCGTGGTTGAGCCATGATCCATGTGGATGATTCACACGCTCGACTCTATTTTCAGCCTGCAGAGATGTGAGCAGGCTGCAGTTTAAATTAGCAGCAGAGCAGATGAGTCAAAGCGATTGTTCACTCAGTAGTCTGAGGCACGAAGTCAGAGTCTGAGTTCAGCTGCTGCCTAATTTCTGCAGGTCGGAGGTGAATTAAGCCTCTCTAATTTCCCAGAAAGTCTAATCATAAAATTCTACTGCCAGAGTCGTTTAAATGAGAAACGCAGAATTTTTTATGTCAGAACTTGTAAAGAGAGGAATAACGTATAAACGTTTTCACAAGAAATTAGAGGGAAATGATTTGGTAAGGAGAGCTTAAGTGGAAAAAACACATAACGATGACAATAATGATAAAACTCTTTGCACTGTCCTCAGGTTGATGCAGGCTGTTTTTCTCTGAGATTTCAGACGTCTTCTCACTCTCCTTCGCTGAGCAAGCAGCTGTTTACCATTTCACCGACCCCTCATGTGTTCTGTTCTTTTGTTATTTATGTAATTAAAAAACAGATTTTCTGATCAGATGAAACCATTCATTTTGATTTCCCTCCAGTTTCTCTTCCATGGAGGATTTTGGACTCGACTCCCTCATTGTCTTATGAACTCACTCACTTCAGCTGTTGGAGATTAGAGACGTCTTTATCAAGGCCATCTGATGTGTTTCTGGCAAAATGAAATCGTTTTTAAGTTTCCAGCTGTTATTTTTTTAAATAAGTATTTGCAGCTGGAAATGTATTGATTGTAACAGGTTTACTGACATGTTCACAAGCTCATCAGCTAATTTATGTCCTACCACTCTGAGGTTCACGAGAAAGAGCAGGGCATCCCCTAATCAGAAGGTCGGTGGTTCGATCCTAAGCGCCTCTATTGTGTGTGTATGTGTGTTTCTGGGTTAGTTAAAAAATGCTTAAAGACGTAAATTATTATAACTTGTTGTGAAAAGTGCTTTGAATGCTGAGTTAGAGTAGAACATTGCTATAAAAGGACCAGTCCATTTAACATAGTTCCAACTTAAAAGCAAAGCAAAGAAATAAAACTGCAACTAAATCAGGAGATGTTAAGCATAATATGAGAAAACAAAGTTCTAGCTGCAAAACGATTTTCCTTGAAGGTTTTTAAACTTCTGAAGAAATCGTCAGTAAAAGGAAAACTTACCTTACCAGTCATACAGGAGAACAGTTAGCAAGGACATGTAGTTCCAGTTCGATAAAGCTTGAGTGTGTGGCTGCTGTGTGTTGAGCTGATGCGTTTTTCGTCTTGTCCTTCCTCTCCAGGTGATTGCTCCTGAGGAGATCGTCGATCCTAATGTGGATGAGCACTCTGTGATGACCTACCTGTCTCAGTTCCCTAAAGCCAAACTGAAGCCCGGTGCCCCCTTGAGGGCCAAATCGCTACACCCCAAGAGGGCTAAGGCCTACGGACAGGGTGAGTGGAAAATGCACAGGAACAAAGTTCATTAATCAAACTTCAAGTTTTATTGAGGTTTTAGAAAAATTTCTGGTAGAATCGACTCATTCGGATTGTACAAAAAACGGACTGTAATGCCTCAAAATTCCATCAATCATCATTTAGATATTTGTCTCATTACTCAAAACAAAGTATCTAATCTGAGGATGTCTTTGGGCTTATTTAACTACTTTTTATGTTTCATAGATGAAACACTGAAGTGGAAAAAGATCATTGCTAAATTTCCAGAATATTAAAATGTTTAATAAATGCAGATGCACATTTAAACTGAAATCATGCTCAAATAGCAATTTTATTTGTACTGTTAGCTGAATTAAAACAAGTTTTCTAAATATGTTATCGACATCAGCACATTACGGCCTTAAATCCAGAAACAGTCAACTTTATTGTAGCTTCTGTTATTAACACGGGAATACCACATCTGTCGCCATTTATGTAGTTCGATGCTATCGGATGACTTTCACAAACATTTCCATTCATTACTTCAAACAATAAAGTTACGTGTGATCGCTGTGTTTGCAGGTATCGAGCCTCGAGGTAACATGGTTCTGAAACCAGCAGAGTTCCTGGTGGAGACGGTGGAGGCTGGACTGGGAGAAGTTCTAGTTTATGTGGAGGATCCAGAGGGACACACAGAAGAGGTGCAAACACACCCTCACATTAATTTAAAAGGACGCAAAAGTTAAATATAACTGAAATTATGCTGCATCATTTCTGTCTCCATCAGGCCCGAGTCATCCCCAACAACGACAAGAACCGAACCTACTCTGTGGTCTACCTGCCCAAAGTGGAGGGGCTTCATAAAGTAAGAAGCTCTCACTGTACAGCTGAAAGAAGTACAGTGGTTCTTATGTTATTGATCAGAAATACAGGGCCATGATTCCCAACGTTCTTCATCTGATGGACCTGCACAGCCTATAACATGGACCCAGAACCCTTCATGTTTGAAAGGGAACCCATTTAAATTGGACAAGGATGACTTTACCATTTAAGATAAGATAAATACAAATACAAATAAATGTCATCATCCACAATCGTTAGCATAACTGTTCATTGACTCATCAATAACTGCATTCTCTTTCACCATTAATTATCACTTTTAATCATGTATGCATATCTATTTGCTACCATTTATCAGTTCCTTTTAACTTTAACTGGTGATGTCTGCTCAATTTTGGTCTCTGTAATTTTTTTAATGTTTATGTTTGAGCTAATCTTTCTGCAGAAGAACTCCCTGTGATGCTTATACCCCTGATTGGGGAATACTGAACCAATGACATGTATAACTCGCATGGCTCATGTGTGGATAAAGGAGCTGTTTCTTGTGTTGTCCTTTTGACAGGGTCTGAATGTTTTCTGGTTCCTTAGTCTTAGCTTTTGTTTAGTTCATGGAAACACAAATTTATGTTTGCGAACCTAACAGGCCTTTGCGGTCCTCTTCCACTCAGGTAAAGGTGTTGTTTGCTGGTCAGGACATCGACAGAAGCCCCTTCATTGTAAATGTTTCAAAAGCCATGGGCGACCCAACCAGAGTTCAGGCCCGCGGGCTGGGACTGCAGCCAACGGGAAATGTGGCCAACAAACCTACATACTTTGATATTTACACTGCAGGTAAGTCTCATTGTATTGTTAGTTTGTCTGAGCTACATTCCCTTAATAAAAGAAAACTGATGAAAAGTTTTTCTTCCATCATTACTCTTGAAAGAACAAATTAAAACCAAAATTATGCACAAAAACATTTTGCGGTCTCTCGGAGGGACTCTGACTCCATATTTCCATTAGCTCTGGGTATCCACTGCTTATTTCCTGCAGATGACCTTCATTGTCTGATACTGTTCCAGTGACAGTCACATTCCTCCTCCATTGTTTAAAGGTCTTGTTATTCTCTGTCCGTACACCAGGAGCGGGTGCTGGAGATGTGGGCGTCATCATTGTGGACTCAAATGGCCGCAGGGATACAGTGGAGATTGTCCTGGAGAACAGAGGCGACAGTGTATTTCGGTGCACCTATGTCCCTGTCCTGGAGGGACCTCACGTCGTCTGTGTGACTTTTGCTGGGCAGCAGATTCCCAGAAGTCCTTTCACTGTCCACATCTCCGAAGGTGGGCTTCTAACATTTACTTTATGTCTACAACACTACAAACTGACCTTTCTAACTCTTTCCTGCATTCTAGGTACTAGGCAGTTCCTTCAGTGATTTAAAATGAAAGCCAGAATTTTGTCCTAAAGCATGTCCTATCTTATATGTAATTCTTTAAATTTGCAGATATATTTTTATTTCATTCATTTAATATAGTCAACTTAAATATTTACAATATTTATTTTAAACATTTAACTGACCCTGCCTCTTATTGTAATACATTCACCAGCACAGATCTCTGATCAGCATGCGTGTAACATTAAACTTCGATGGATTTTGTAACAGGAACCTTTGGTATCATCCAAGTCCAGGTCTTCTGAGATTGTCTGTGCTGCCTTTATGGTTCACTCTATGGACATTCATGGTTTTAGGCTATGGTGTTTGATCACCCCCGGTTTGCTGGAACAGGATGTGGATATTTATATGGACTGGATTATGTCTGACTTGGCTGTTCTTGATCTGGGATTTGGCTACTTTTGGTTAGGACTTGTAAGTCATGTTTGGAGCGTTCCTAATTTGTCTTAACTTGGAGCCTAAATTTATTTAGGTATTATTGGCAACTTGGTCTTGTCTTGTAATTTGTTGCAGAAGTAGCCTTGAGATGTCATGTTGGATTAAACTAATTTGGAATTAGATGAGGCTTTTTTTTTTTCAATATTGAACTTAAGAATCACCTGTGATTTCCAAGGATTTAAGATATAAATCAGGACCGTGTTGATCCGGGACACTGGGTTTGGGAATAGCTTACCTTAATTTGAAGTCTAACTTGACTTATCTTTGAAAATGGGACTAGCCTGATTCAACTGACTTGAGAAAATTCCAGTGACTTGAGACTAACTTTGCAGAATTAATGCAGAATTAAACTTTATCCCAACTGTCTAAGGGTTTGATTTATGTTGGTTAGGTGGTTAGGTCTGGGCTAATTTGTTTTAGGTTGACTGGATTTCCTATGTTTTATTTAGCGTTGGTTTGTTGGTTGTGTTTGGTTTGTTTTAGTTTTGTTTGGATTGATTTGGCTGGTTTGCTTTATTTTAGTTCATTTGGGTTGGGTTATTTTGGGTTTGCTTAGTTTTAGTTTGGTTTGGTTTGGGTTGGGTTGATTTGGTTGAATTTGGAGAGTTCGTCTTGCTTTGGTGACGCTGCCCTTTAACCGATCTGGGTTCTGTCCTCCTTGTGCCGATGTACAAATGCATCATACTGTTATTCCCTCCTTCAGTTTCACAGAGTGTCCCTCCTCCTGGCTCTCCAGTGCAGATTGTACCTCAGTCCATACGCACCCCACCTACTGACAAGACCAGGAGAGCTCCTCCTCCAACACCACCCAAACCCAGGCGACCAAGTTAGTACAGGCCATTGACAGGATGCAACTGGAGCCTGCCTGAGCTAGCCTGGTCTTTTCAACTCAAACTGTCTTCACTTTGGCCCCATATGGATGGGGGTTCCCTGCCTTACAGCATGTCCTGGCACTGCTTCATCCTGAGCAGCTTGTTCTTTTTCTACATCTCAGAAACTGAATGTGGTAGTCTAAAGCCCTTTTTGAATGGCATCAGAAATAATTAGGAATTATTTAAGTTCATCATTATTTTATCATTATTATTTTATTACACTTTATTTCTGTAGAAATTCAAGCTTTAATAATTTACATTTGGGTTGGTTGTGGTGTTCTGGGATGCATTTTGTCAAAACTATCTATCCTGAGAACATGTTGTTAGGTCAGTAGGTTGATAAAAGCAGCAAAGAAAGCAATTCCAAGTAACTCAAAGTGCCTCGTGCAATGAGAATTTTGGAGCCAAGCTATTTACTGCTCAGTTTCTTGGGGTTTTTTTTGTTTTGTTTTTCTTGTTTTTTGTTTTAGCTCCATTGCCCACAGATTCAACTTTTGTGTCAGCAAAAATCCAGAATATTCTCCTGAGTGGGTTAGTATGTGTGGTGGGTCACTTCTTGTAAACATTTGGAGACTTTTGTTTGGTTTAGATGGTTAACAAAAAACTCTACAAGAACCGTTGAGGGCTGGAAAACGACACCGACAAAGTAGCCCAAGAACAGCTCAGATTTTCTTGGTGTCACTATTAATTTTAAGAAATTTTGTAGAATTGAACTGGGTTCAACTGTATAAGGAGGTATTAAGAAAAAGTGTGTTATGAAAAAGATCAAAATCTGGGTTGTTTTATTGGTTTGAATCTGTAATTTGAATAACAACTAAACAGAATAAGAAGTGTTAATAACATCTTAGCAAAACAACAAAATTAACCACTTTAAAATAAAGTGGTTAGCAAGTGACTTTACATAATTATATATAATCAGAGAAGAGGCTTAAATGCCCGAGTGATCTTCTACTTGCACCTCCCCAACATCATCATCAACCCTGCCTGTTCTTCCTCACGTCGCCTTCAGTAACTCTTCCTTCTGCAGCTAACCGACGCTCTATCCTCTGAGTGCATCGTGTTCTCAAATCTGATGCTTCAAACTTAAGTTTAAGTTTAAAGAACATGTCGGTCTATAGCAAGTTTTTCCTTCTGTTTGCTATTACGTTTGTGTGCATTTTGTATTTTTCTTGAATCTGCAGCTCTGAATTCTGATTTCATCACGTCTTCCTCTTTGCTGCTTTTCCCTTTCAGCCTCAGCAAACTGCTTTTTATGGCGCTGATAAGCTGACTAACGAGAAACTCGTGCTGCTCTGTGTGTGTGTGTGTGTGTGTGTGTGTTGTTAGTATATTTTAGTTAGAATCACACAGTAATCATTTGAGTTTAATCAGCTGTGCACTGATCAGTTTGAGAGAGTAAATGAGTAACCTGTGAGATTAACTATTAATTTCTGAGACCAAATTAACTCCAACTCAGCCCTCCATTTGAAGCTTCATAGCTCCTCCATGATAGCAGCCGACTTTATGGCTTCAGCTGGAGGAGGCAGTTGGACAGATAAGACAGATCCTGATGATTCTCCAGGAGGTTCAGTGTAGGATTACATAGGAAGTATGAAACAGGCTCTGTGTGTTTGTGTGAGTTTCATTATCATTTGAGCGTCGTTTCCCAGTCTAACCTCCATCTGACTGGTCCTCACAGCCTGTAACCCAAACGCCTGCAGAGCATCTGGCAGAGGTCTGCAGCCGAAGGGTCTGAGAGTGAAAGAATTGGCAGATTTCAGAGTTTACACCAAAGGAGCCGGCAGCGGGGAGCTCAAAGTCACCGTAAAAGGACCAAGTAAGACAGCAAGACTCACCAACCCACGAGATTCACCAACTGGAGCTAAAATCCCTTTTAGGAAACACATTTAAACACAAAACTGAAGAGAACCCCTCTTATTTTTGGTCAGATCACATCATTTTAATACAGAACACTGACTATAGCTGATATTTGTGAGATTTGTAATGATGGATTCAGCACAGTCAGACCTTTCCAGAATATCCAAAAAGAGGTTTCTCCTGTGTATGTACATTTGTGAGTGTGTTTTACAAAATGTTTTTATTTTTGGTAATTGGCTTTATTTTCATTTGAAATTTAGCTCAGTAAAGGTGGACTGATTGTGGATTATGTTTATTTTTAATATAGAAGGCCTGGAGGAGTCTGTGAATGTGCTTGAGATGGAAAATGGCCTGTATGAGTGTAATTATTACCCCGTCATGGCAGGAAAGTACATCGTAACCGTCACTTGGGGCGGACACAGCATCCCTCGCAGGTGAGGTTGATGGAGTGATTATACATACTATTACAGTTTGGGGAGTTAACAGTGTTTCTTACAGCTGTGCATTATGTCACATATAGTAACAAATGCATGCATTTTAATCATTTGATCATGTGATGCCATATAAAACTAAAGATACTGAGGATCCAAGATTGAACCCTGAGGTACTCCAGTGACTTGTGTGCATGTATGTAAACATGTTTTTTATCTGAAGTAAAGATAAAAACTAATCAATTTTTTCTGTTTTCCAGCCCATTTGAAGTTTATGTCAGTGAGGAGGCAGGGCTTCAGAAAGTGAGAGCCTGGGGTCCAGGTCTGGAGACCGGTATGGTGGGGAAGAGTGCTGACTTTGTGGTGGAGGCCATTGGAACTGAAGTGGGAACTCTCGGTTAGTTACAATAACATAAAGATGGGACTCAGGAAAACGTTAAGAGCTTAAGGCGCTGACTTATGGTCAAAAGCAATCCACAGTACTTCAACATCTTGTAGAAAAATATTGTTAAATTTAATAAGGATGTAACATTTCTGCTGCATCTATCAAACGAAACGAGACCAATCATATTACAGGAAATCTAACACCTCATATGTTTCAGTAAACAGCTACCAAACAGAACTCGACATCTTTTATTTGCTTAAGTGGTCATGGAATAACAACCTGCAGACCTACTCCTTATCAACAGTCTGGTTACTTTTGAGCATCTGAAAACAGGGCATTGTGTGTAAGATGTTTGCCACTGTCCAAAAGCCTCTGGATCTGATGGTATATACTGCTATTTCTGTGAATATTTGTGTGTCATGTAAAGTATTGAACTCCATGGGCAGATCCCATTGTTTTCACATTCATCACTGATAGGCAGTGTTTAAATAACAGCGTCTATGTGTAGGTTTCTCTATCGAGGGGCCCTCCCAGGCTAAGATTGAGTGTGATGATAAAGGCGATGGATCGTGTGATGTTCGATACTGGCCGACTGAACCAGGCGACTATGCGGTCCATGTTATTTGTGATGACGAGGACATCAAGGACAGTCCCTTCATGGCCCACATCCTCCCTGCTGCCAGTGCCATCTTCCCTGAGAAGGTCAGATCAGAGCCTTGTTGAGTTTCAAACATTTTTCTGCATGTTTAATTTTTAAACATGTGATGTTTACTTCCTCAGGTGAAATGTTACGGTCCAGGTCTGGAGCCTTTGGGCTGCATTGTTAACAAACCTGCTGATTTCACCATTGATACCCATGGAGCTGGCAGAGGAGAGCTGAAGCTCTATGCTCAGGTGAGGATTCAGAGGCAGCCTCTCCATAATGTTTTAATAACACATTAACATCTTTTCAAAATCACACCAGTGTAAATCTGTTTGTGTTGTAGGATTCAGAGGGTTTCCCCATTGACGTCCAGATCACAGATAATGGAGATAGCACCTACTTCTGTGTTTACATTCCCACAAAACCCATCAAACACACCATTATCGTCACCTGGGGTGAAGTCAACGTCCCCAACAGCCCATTCAGGGTATAAAACCAACACCAAATATA